CATTAAAATAATAAAAAATAGTACATCTAGAACAAGCACCCAAAACATGTAACAAGAGGTCACAGTTCAGTTGCTTTCATGATACAAGTGTCATACAACTACGTATTAGATTTGAGGTGTCGTTCAGAATTTAATAATAGTTAATACTAGTTGTATGTTCACACTTTACTATTAAAACCACCATTTCGACCACTCATGTGCCAGTGATCCGTGTTTGGGTAAGCGGTCGGTGTTTCAATGAGCGAGCTAGCGAAAAAAAATGCGATTAAAATGCGGTCGGTTTCCGGTCGGACAAGACCGCATGGTCGGAAATTAAGCGATAAGCGGTCGATGTAAAAGCGGAAAGTTGGGCGAAATGAGTACTGTATGCCCATGTTTCTCCGAAGTCTTGACTGACAATAATGCTGGCAATGGACGTTAGATAAACACGCATTGTTTGCGATGGAAAGCTTATCACCCGTTATATCAGAATCGTCGACAACAGAGTATACAGATAAGATGTTATCATTTAAACCCTTCCAAAAATAAACATTATGCAAATATGCATGAAACGGCAGTTGTAGTCTTTTCTTCTAGCGTTTTAAAACACTAATTTAAGCAACGTTATTTTGCAATTTCGATCTTTTGTAAACCTGGGATGATGTATCAAGGTCTGAAGTAACCGTTTTATCAATTTGTGAAAAATCAAGAAAAAAGTGAAAATTTCCCTTCTCGCTACCTTAAGGTAGCGGGACTATTATTTGCATACTTTTTTTCATCTTCTAATTGGGACCAAACGACTACAAATAGACCCAGGAAAGTATATATTTTTGGAATCGCCAGACTTCAAGCTTTTCAAAGGTGTGTTTGTCATGCCTGTATCTGCATTCTACGGTGCGTTACTTAATCAAAAGTGAAAAATTACTTTTTTTGTAAAAAAAATAATTACGCATTTATGCTGGCGATAATAAGTTTTGTTTTCACTTTTCCTAGTTGTTCAATAGTCTGGTAAATTGAATGTGTCTGATCAGTTTTATTCAAGCAACGCGTTTTGAAAAATAGTGTCCTGAATTTTAATTTCTGTTTTAGTCGCATTGACCCCAACTCAAATCACAACACATTGGTAAATAATCCATGAAATAGTTTGTCTGGACACATTCAAGTTCCTCTCATTGTCACCTTAAAGCTGTGAAAATTTGGTGTTAATCCAACGACAATAAGTATACGTTATTTTTTGTTAAAGACCTTGCATTTTGAAAAACAAACTCCTAGAAAACGTTGATGACGTCGATGAAGTCACAGCAAAGATTTTCTACCTTGTTTATCTGCACAAGCGATTTGTTTTCCCATCAAGGTCTGTTTTAACATGTGTAGGGGCATCCAATTGTGTAAGGCTATTGGAAACCCCCCAAAAAATAAAGGAATGGGATAGCTATAGTTCAATAAAACGGCAGATGAAAACACTAAAATCAATGATTTTTTTCAGTGGCTGTGTGACCTTGTCTGACACATTCATATGCAAATGACTAATCTGTGAAATAAACAGGAGCGGAGACAAACCACTCAAATGTTTGGAAACACTCATTGTGTGTCAGATAGCTACTGATAACACATCCTAACATTGCTTTGTCTTGAGTTTATCTTTGAAACTTATAAGCACACGGATTAAACCTGTGTTGTTGATTTTGGAAAACACTACTGAGGCTGCCTTGCTTCCCTTCAGAAAATCTACATTTTAACCAATTTACATGACATTCTATGTTATGTTGACTTTATCATATGAAAGTTTATAGTGCATTTCATCAATTAATAAATAAATGTGAAAATCGGAATTTTCAACACAAATAATAGTCTCGCTACCTTGAACATTAACAAAATGCCACTTTTACTAGTCACTGTCGCAAATAACTGAAATTCAGTTTTCAATTACACCCAAACTATAACATTTTGCATTGAAATACTTGATTTGTGAATGAAATTATTTATTTTGCATTGAGTGTTGTAAAAGTTTGTTGTAGGATGAAGCTCCATGTGTTTTAGCTCGCTGTCTTGACAGTGAATACTCAGTTTGTTCATAACTTCTTATTTGATCGCTAAACATTGCAGGTGTAGGTAATGTTGGTTCCCGTCATTTGCAAGCTCTTGCAGCCTTGGATATGGCTGTCAACATTGTAGTTGTGGAATCATTCAAGTAAGTACTATTTTACGCAAGTAATTTAATACTATATTTGCTAGTTTTCTTGTAAAAATAACAGCTGTCTGTGGTCATACTGTATACAGTTAAGGGCTGGTGGTCATACCTCGCAAGTACAAGCTCTGTTGGTTAGAAGTAATTTTCTCTATAATTCAACTCACTCTCTCAAAGGAATGCATAAATCAGTTTTGACTTTGGTACGATGTGCACTGATTAAATCACTGACATCCTATAATTTTTGAAGCATTTCAACCAACATAGAAATTATCTTGTTAAATATTGTTTGTACTCGCTGGTGTGTACAACACTCAAAGGCATCATCTTTGTTCATATGGTTACTTTCTTCTTGCATGCGTGGTACAACGACCAAAAGCTGAATGGATCTATTATTGGAAATTCCTCTAACAACTGCCATTAATTTCAAATTTAATCAAAAAGATGTTAACTTTTATCACAATATTGTTTTGTATCACATCACATCATAACCTAACTGACAAAGACATGTGACTTTGTTTGATTTCCTTTAGAAATGCATCACATGTTTCTTCATGTTCCTTTCACTATGGAAATGTACCAGCCGTATTTGATTTCGTCAACAGTGAACGAAGGTTGATAGTTGGTATTTTGCCGAGGTATAATGGTCAGGCAATGGATGAATAAATGAAACTTGGTTGGCAAAGATGGGTTTAAATGAATTAAAAGAAATGTGAATGTTTATGGGAGTCAAATCATGATTTTTGTCTAATACTGTTATCATTGTGTAATTGTAGGCAGAGTCTTGACCGTGCAAAGTCTATCTATGATAATGAACCGAAAGCTAATGCTAGTTCACGTGTAACATATCTTCAGTTAATTGATGACATCACCATTGGCTCAGCATTTGACGTTTGCATAATAGCTACAGCATCACCTCCACGACGCAAAGTGATTGAAAGTCTACTTGAACGATGTAAAATCAAGCATCTTATCATTGAAAAAGTGAGCTTATGTTTATTACATGTCTTGCAACATAAAAATGATTTTCACTGAAATGGAAGAAATGTAATTTTTCTCCAATGGGAGAAAAAAAAAATCTTCTAATCATTCATTTTTGTCTTTATATTTTTCAGGTTCTTTTCCAAACTGCCAAAGACCATGAGGATGTACAGGCCATGTTTATACAGTCAGGGGTGAATGCGTACGTGCACTTACAGTGGTGTGCGATACCCATGTACAAATATATGAAGGACCATATAAAGGTATGGAACACCTACATTTGTATTAAGGGGTAGCCATTATTTTGGCGGGGAGGGCCCTCAGAAGATAGTGAAACAAATTTGCCTTGTAATTTTTTTTCAACAGATTCACTCATAACAAACCTGTCCCTAGTACTTATGTCGGCGATTACATTACACAAAAATTCACAGCATTTTTATCACCTCTTTAATCTGTCTTTAACCAGATTGAGGTAAAATTGACATTGATCATACTTTTTAAAATGTATTTTAATGTATGTATTTAGGGATTTGATTGTAAGCCAATCAAGTTTTAGAGAAATCAACATCCAACGATAAATATCAGATTTCTGCATAATTTATAGTGCTATGTGTTATTAAAATGAGAAATTTACCTTAGAAACATGATAGTCAGTTATTAAATGGCCACTAACTTGAATAACTCTTAAATCTCTTGAACTACTTTTAACTTTTGCTTATTTCGCTGACTGGAAAATGCGCTAAATTAAAAACACAGTGAATATGTAAAATTTAGCATTGAACACATTATCTAAATGATAAAACCGTGAATTTAAAACCCACTGAATATGCCTGAAATGGTAAATAAGCGAAATTAAAACCCAATGAAAATTAGTCATTTTAAAGTATCAGCTTTTTGCGCCTTTCACAAGTCTTTTATTCTTTAGTTTGACAAATTTCAAATCAAATGGACAAATTTTATTTTATTTAATTACATTGCTTTAATACAGGATTTAAAAAATAAATTTATTTTTTGTGAATGATGACAGAAGTTGACTTTAGCATTTCAAAGATTAAATTGAGTAATTATCAACCCACAGGGACCAGTTAATTTACATATACATGGCCAAGGATGGGGATTGTGTTGTAACAGTATTCACTTAGTGGCATTGGCTTCCTATCTGAATGATAGTCAAGATGTCCGCATAGATGGAAGTGGTTTGAAACCTGGATATCAAGAATCCAAAAGAAAAGTAAGTTTAAAATCTACTAATAGTTTCCTAGAGAATAAAATTATTTGAATTTTTTTGGTTAATCCTATGCTAATTTACTAGATCTACTGAAAAAAAGCAATAAGGTTTGTGAACATCAAAAGTGAAAAATGAAGTACCAGTACATGCTTTAAGATTAAAAAAAATATTTCACATCTTGTACAGCAGTTCCAGTTGAATTCAAACTGTGCAATGCATTGTGTTTTTAAAAATTGTCCACTGACCCAATATACTTTTTCATTCTATAATAATGATGTTAACCATCATAAAATTTGTTACGTTGAAAATGTACATGTGTGTATATTACTATCCGGGTTCAAACTGAGCACACACATGACTGCTACATGTACATTGACATCCGGAAGTGCAACTACTACACAGATACTAGTTTACATACCTTGAGAAACAGAAGATATCTCTATTGGCATGAATTAATTTGATATATCGGTATAAATAAATACATTTTTGTTGAAACAACTTGACTAATCAAAGAGTGGTAATGAATACATAAAAAAATTTCGTGCCAGGATTTGAGGAAAGGACTTGTGGGCTTTGGCATTACCAAATGGCATCCATAGCCAATAACAGCTTAATTTTGTGATTTGAAGCTTGGGGGGGGGGGGGGTGTCTTCAAGATTTTAATTTTGATAAGGTATGAAAATCATTAATACCGTAATGAAATTCATTATATACAGCAAGAAAATTGTTTACAAAACATTTAAATGACTGCACGTGCAATGTTTGATGGCACATTGATCAACATCGGCATACAATGGTAGACCACTAGTACCCGTTTCCAACAACTGTTTTAAATGCAAGAAAAATACAAACAATAAAAGGCATATTATAAAAAGACATGAAGCAATTTGTGGGTTTGAAAAAATTGTACCGGATTCTACCGTAAATTTGCCCTAATTACCTTCAGGTACCTTGTGACGCATTTATTAAATATGTGAGAAGGCAGTATGGTCACTAATGTCATGTTTTACACTTTTCCTAAATTACTGTTATACTTGCAGGGTTTTGTTGAAGTATTTGGTACATTAAAGGGAGAGGTAAAATCAAAACATGGTAAAGCAGATTTCACTCTGGTCTGCACAGATGGGCCACTGACTGAAGGCAGAACTTTACATATATGGAATGACACTGTTAAAATGTACTGGACTGAGCAAACAGTAAGTGCAGAGTCGATTCAAATCATGTGTACCAATAGTTTCATGCACATGTCCACTCCACGATGATATTGCAAACATTATCAATGTAGTGAAACGCAATCGATTAATGTCCACAAGTAATTCATTCATTCATTCATGTAGATATATTTAAAGTCACAGTGCTGCCACTTCTTCACTCAGTGTAGCTATCTATTGAACATATTAATATGGTATTTTGCAAAATGATGTCGCTGTCAGGTTGAAAATAACTTCTTGGTAGTCTGCACTCATCTCATAGGATCTTCAAGTACAATTATAATTGCT